CGCCCTCACTATCCTCGAAAAAACCTTCACTGTTTCAGTAACCTACCTCCTACACCATCATTGCAAAATCTGCCACATTGCCCCCCCTATCCACCCGTCATACGCCTTTTCCAAATCCATAAATGCATGATATATGAGTAAATCAGTGTGCTGTTTTTTTTATTGGTTTTAAAAGATAGCTTATTTTTCCTTGGGTAAGATTTTCATGGCTGAATTGGCTTTTTCGCAATATACCCCAGTTACCATTCCAAAAATAAAACTTAAAAAAATGAGAGAGACAAAAAAAAAAATTTTGTGCCAATTATGAAGTAAAAAAAAATCTGGAAAATACTTCACCCAAAATGCTGAGTTAAAAAATCATAAAAAATTTTTAAAAAAAATTCTGATATTTTTCACTTGCCACTTATAAAATATATTTTATCAAACTATATCCCAATTTTAAAATTGTTGGTTTCCTTCTCAGGGTATGTGTGCAGAGAGCACCAGGGCTGCACATGTGGAGGTTTTTTTTTTTTTTTTTTTTTTTAAAACCTTTGGGGTGTTTCCTCCAAGGCAGGGGACCCAAAAAAGAAAAAAAAAAAAAAAGAAAGAAAGAAAAAATCCAAAAAGAAAAAAAAAAAAAACTTTCATCATTAACACTTTCACCATCATTCAAAATAACATGCCCTTGCAGAAGCGTTCAGATACAACAGTTTGATGTCCCTCTAAATAGCCAATTCCCAAAAAACCCTCCTTTAAAGTCCGGGCATTGTCTTCCTACCTCCTGGACTAAAGTCAGCTAACCAGTTTCCGGGTCAGAAAATTTTTCATTGAAAATTTACTTTAGTCCCAAAAGCCCCAAAATTTGGGATTTAAAAGTTTTTGGCTGGTAGTAAACAAATGACTGCAATTTAAAAGCCCCCTAGTGTCAATAGGTTAAGCCAATTAATACTAACCTTATTTCCCAAATTCAATGATGAGCTCTATACATCAAATACAAAAACCCAAAAAATTTAAAAAAAATCATAAGGGGAAAAGCAGCAAGTTTACATTATTCAGGGGCAAAATGTTGTCTAAAAAAGAATGCTTCCCCCCTGCTAATTCCTTCTCCCTACAAAAAATATCATTCATACTTTTGTAAAAAATTTACTTAAAAAACTCTAGTTTAAAGGAATTATAAAAAATAATAAACCATTTCATCATCCTCAATACTTCATTGTAATCAGCGCAATTTTAACTGTACAGGTCGGGCCTCAATCTCCACTCAATTATTGCTTAAAGGTAAAGATACAAGAAAGGGTAAAAAAAAATTTAAAAAAAAAAAAAAAAAAAAAGGAGATCATGGGTACAATTAGTAACACTTTACAAAATCTGTGGTTCAAGCCCCTTGAACCTGCCACCAGCGAAATAAGAACTATTGTGGAACAGCGGGTTTTAAAATTTTAAACTGATCTTTGATCTTTGCCTATTCCTGATAAGCCGGGTTGTGATGGCATTTTAGAGCTGGGCCCCTAGCTTAACAGCCTGTGACCAGGCAATCAATAAGAAGCCCTGCTCTGGCTGGGCTGAAAAGGGGTATAACCCACAAAACCAGTATATGAGGATAAATGTAATAAACATAAAAAAAACCTGTACTGTGCAACACAAATGTGATGGTTTTGAGAATTTTTCCTACAAAATCAGGTTGGGGACCCTGTGGGTTTAGCACTTATTTTTTTGATGTAAAACATTATAACAATATATATTCACTCTAAATATCTTAATCCCTCAAACATTAATAAATCCATTGTTCAGCTTTAGGTTAAAATAAAAAAACTGCCATTCCTCCTTTTAACTTATTAAGCCATATAGCATGAACAATAGAAATTCAATTTTTCTTTTATTTCATTGTAAACCCCTAAATTTAAAAATTTCCCAATACCTAAGTGCCACATGTCTGCCTTTTTTAATCTTAAGTTACCCTTAAATTTTTCCCCAAAAATGCTTCATATAAATGGGCTTTCGGCTTACACACCCAATTGTCTCTCCTTTGTAAAATATTTATCATGCAAAATAAACTTCTTATTAAAATAACAATAAATCGTCCACTGAGACCCGGGGTTCAACCAGACACGAGACCAGATACTGGGGCCCAAGCAAATGGATCCCCGACAATAGACAAAAAAACTAGCTCTGAAGCACTCTAAAAAAAGAGTGCGGCCCTGAAGTACATGTATATCCTATAAATGAAGTTGATAAAAAAGTGAACCAAGTGATAAAATAGTGATCCCCAAAGATCATGCCAGCTATTACTCCAAACCTGTGGCGGGGCAGTGGTTTTATCAGTGGCGGAATGATTATAGTCCAGGAGGGCTTCTCCCAAGCACCCGGATTCCTGAGTTACTGTAAAAAAAATAATAAAATAACAATGAGTTTTTCCCAAAAAAATTATTGGTAAAATATATTTCCAATGGACATGGGTGAGGGGGGAAAAAGAGAATGAAAAGGGAGAGAGAAAGAGAGAAAGAGAGAGAATGAGAAAGGGGAAGAATAAAAGAGAGGGGGAAAATGATCATCCTTTTAAAACATCACTGCCAGTGATGCCTTCCGGGCCCCAAAAAGCAATAGTTTTCTTGGCCATCAAATTTGTTTGCTTATATTTTTTTAAAAAACATAAATGTTTTACAATTTTCATTCAATTTCGATTTTAATCCTTCTTATAAAGCATGATTGTAAAATGGCCTTCCTGTTACATATACTGAAAAACAGACTCCTTTAAGACATGCCAGAAAGAAAAGAGGGGGCTCACCAGAGATAAACAGGACCCCCCGTAACTTTACATCCAAAAAATGAAAAAACAGTTGCTCTTTCTCCCTATATAGTAATTTTTTTTGAAAATGTGACTAAAAAACACGTGCAAAATTCTCTACTATGTGTTGAAGGGCCCTTTCCCCAAATGCTATTCATTCTGAATACACTTTTCCAAAAACATTTCAAAAAACTGCACTATGTAGAGGCCCCCTTTTTTGAGAGCTGACAATCCTTTAATTTTTTTATGTTTATCCAAAACAGAAAAAAAAAGTCACAAAAAAAAAAGAAAAAAAAAAAAAAAAAAAAAAAAAAAAGGAGGGGGGCCTAATTGCATTAAATTTCTTGGATTTCCCAAAACAAAACTTCAACTAAGTTACCTTGTATGAAAAATCTGAAAAAATACAAAAAAGGTAGAAGGGAACAAAAATCATTACATAGTAAGGTAGTTATAGGGAAGTAGGTTGGTTTTACAGCAACTGCCAGGGGGGTACACTGTCCTGCCAAGTGAGTGTTTAAAAAAAAACCTGTAATTGTTTTACTGGGGTAGGATTGCTGGTGTTTTTTTTCTGTCTCATAAACATGCAAGGGTTTCAGGCCGTTTTTGCTATTCTTACACTTTTGGGCACACAAAAATTTCATGTATACAAGCATATATATATTACACACAACCCCCCCGGGTTTTCTTTTTTTTTCCCCCCCTGTGCTTTTTTTTCTTGTTTATTCCTTTATCTCCTGGGAAAATGGAAAAAGAAAATTTTTCCCCTTAAGCCTGCGTGTTGTAAAAGGCGGTAAATGCAGGGAGCAGGGGCTAGTAACACTTTCCTGATAAAATTTCTAAATTTTTAAAAAAAAAACTTTTGTTTTTTTTTCGGGACCCTGCCTTGGTGGGGTATGGCCATTTGTGAAAAAAAAAAAAAAAAAAAAAGTAAGGGGAGTTGTTTCTTCCAAACTCACAACTTCCCTTTTTTGTAGGCTTCAAATTTTCCAATGTTTTTACAGATGGGAAATCAGCAAATCCAGCAATTATCCTTTTTTTTTTTTGGCACAAATGGGGTTTCCACATTGTAATCTTTTTTTTTTTTTCGGTATTATTTTTCATGAAGTCAAATTTAACCCTTTGAGGGTTTCGGACGTACTTTGTACGGCTTGGGGCCCAGTTTTTTTTTACGTACTAGTACGCCAAATTCTAGCGCCCTCAAACTAGTGGGAGAAAGTGGTAGGGCCTTCAATAAAAGAATGGATCTATGTGGTCAGTGTGACAGTCAAAAAAAAAATCCCCGCAGCCACAGTGCATAATGAGAAAAAAAAAAAAATTTGACCATTTTTTGGAAAAAAACAGCGACTTTGCACTGTATTTTCGTATGGTATTTTTTTTGTTGTATTCTAGTTTCTTGGTCTCATTTTTTTAGAATGGAAGACATATTTCAAAATTGAGATGATTTTGATGGTTTTCAAAAGAAGGATACCTTGAAAATTTTAGCTCAAAGTAGCAAAATGTTTTGATTTTTTCC